TAATTCTACTTTTTCTAATTTTATCATTAATGGGAGCTATTCCTAGATTTTCTCTACTCGTTCATTACTAATCTAATCTCTTTTAGTCTTAATTTTAATTTTAATTTTAAATAAGTACTATCACAGCATCTCATTTCCGCTACAGGAATGTGTTCTTATTTCCTTTTCTATGCTCAACGCTCTGCTCCATGCAATATAGCTGGACTGATAATCATCCTATAGGATTTTCCTCTTGATTTATTTAATATTCGCAGGGTAGAACTAGCTTTCCTCTATTTTGTCCACCCTGCTCCAGTCCTACTTGCTAAATCTCCATATATCTCCTTATATTTTGAAATATTGACCCTATGTAACAACTTTAGTTATTTTGAGTAACTTTTTTGTCTTGATTTGTAATATCGGTATGTGTCATTTTTTTGCTATGATATCAAATTTACATTCCATATATTCTGTTTTAATTTTACAAATTTTAGGCCTTTTCCTTCCAAAGTCTTTCTCCACGTTTCTAACTTTGTTGTTAAGTCTTCCCTAGATGTGTCTAATAAAATTGTGTCATCGGCCAACATTCACCATAGAACGTTAATTTTTTTAGTTATTTTCTATGTTACCCGGACTCTCCATTGAAGGCCAAGGTGTCTGTGTTGACATGACACGACATGAACACCGACACGTGGACATGGGATATGGGTCAGACACTCCTTTGCATCTATTGGGTATGGCTAGTGAAGAAAACCCACAGATCGTTTGCATTGGTTGATGCTTGTGAAGGTTCGGCTGCCATTCATCTTGTTTGCAAGCTCTCTGGTTAAAAAGTGAAATCCTTTCAGGAAGTTGAAGATGCTTCTTCTCCACGTGCTGAGTATTTTCACGCGTTCTCTGGATTAGTTTCATTGAAAGGTTGTATTGCTGCCACGTCTCCAAACCAACAAAAGGGGAAGACTCGACAACTCCACCAAATCAAGAGAAAGAAAATGATATTATATAAATCATCAGCTTATATTTTTTTTAGCCTGGGCTTCTACAGTGACAGTTGTTCTACAACCTACATTAATGACAACTTCTCTTTTTTGAAAAGTTGATGACAACTCTTCCTTTATTTAAAAGATAAAAGGCTAAAAGAGTGTGTAATTTTGAAAAGCTTGATGTTCACTTTGATGCTTAGTATACAAAATAATCTTTATCTTTTAAGATACATATTCATTTAAAACTCATTTCACAAGAAGAAATTCAGACATCTACAACTCTTTTAACTTCTAATAAATAATTGAAAATAAAATATTTATGGGTAAAAAGATTACATGGAATTTATTTAAATATGTGACGTGTCTAGGTATTCAATTCCAATTTTTGGTTTTTAGTCGTGTCTCCGTATCCAATAATTCAGGAGTATGATGAATCCGACCCATAAACACACACCAGTACCTGAGTCCGGGTAACTAGATTATTTCTTCTCACACTATTGTAAATAGTTATGAACTTCAAAACCGATCCTTCAAATACTCATACTTAATAGAGTTTACTAGTTTCTCCTCATGTAATACGAACTCTAGTCAATGTCTCACCATATATATCTTTAATAAGATTTATAAGTTTTATAGCAACTAGTTATCTTTGTTGAGCCTCCCAAATTATATCACTTGGCACTCTATTATATGCCTTCTCTAGGTCTACTAAAACTATGTGTATTTCTGTTTGTTTACTCCTACACTCTTATATTAATTGCCTTATTAAGTCTATGATTTCCATAGTAGATCTACTTGGCATATAATGATAATAATAATGATCATCATTATCATCATCATCATTATAATTATAATAGTAATTTAAGACTTCGACTCAATTAGAACTTGATCTAATAAAGAGCATGTAGAAAGATCTAATTACATAATTTGAACAAATATGACTCATGATTACAGCTTCAATATGCTGATATTTACTGAATTGAAGAATACATTGATTTATATATGCGGATGGTTTTCTCTTACTTCTAAATGGACTTTGATACGGAAAATTAGTGTTTTGAAAATTTTAAATTTGAGTCTTCTGCCCAATATAAATGAAATCAAATCACAAGCAAACTAAAATAAAGATCCTAAGGGGCCCAATCAAAATTTTTTTCTTCGGAAAATTCCTTTCTTTAAGTTTGCTATTTTTGAACTTCTTATAGCATGCATCGTGATATGCATGAGTTACCAATCATTTTAAGCTTCTCTAAACATGTAAAGTTTATAGGTGCTGATGGAGGAGATGCCACATACTCTCAAAGGTCTCAAGTATCTTACTTGCTATTTTTATACTCCCTCTGTCCCAATTTAGTTGTCCATCTTTCCTTTTTGGGTTGTCCCAAAATACTTGTCAACTTCTAAAGTTCAAACAACTTTTTTCACATCTTCCCATTAAATACCCTAGTTTTAAAAAATTTCGAACTTGATTATATTATATATTCAAACTTGAAAGGGTAACTTAATATTTTTCAAAGGGGAACAATGCAATAATTACATGTCACCTTAAAAAGTTCTACTCCGCAAAAGGGACATCTAATATGGGACAGAGGGAGTATCAAGTGAGCATCTTTTGCTTGCTATCATTGCATTTGATTTAGCAAAAATGTGGCTGCAGAGCAAATATAATAATAGCTGGCATTTGGCCTTGTTGAGTTGACTTATGGAGACCTCCTATAGGGTTCTTAGAGTAGAGGGTTGGCTAGGTTCCATGGAAGGAGATTTGGTGCACTAAGGCCTCTCCTAAGGTTTTATTTTTCCTTCTATTTAGGTTGATGGTTGTTGGAAGATTTTGACTATGGGTAATCCTTAGAAGAGCTGTCAGCATAATTGTTAACAAAGGCTACAAAGGTATCCTGAAGCCCAAGCGCAATGCGCAATATAAGGCATGAGCCAGATCAAAGTAAGGCGTAATACATTTTAATTATAGTAATAATGCATATTAATTATAAGTATATAAAGAATAATTCAATTATGCAACACAAACTTGTCAATATCCAAATAAAGGATTTTTTAACATATAAATTCAATGAATTAGCTAAATCAACATAAAATAAAATGGAATTTTTGTGGGATGCATTCCCCATTTGAATGACATATATCTTTTCCATTTCAAATGTTTATTTGGAGATGTAGGAGTGATTAAAGCCCTTAAATCACTAATTGACAAAATATTGATACGAGTGAATCATGATAGTGATTTTAGGAATCTTTCCTATATCATATTTATCGCATGTTTGTATTCTTTCACCTATAAATAGAGGTGATCATTGTATACAAAAATTAAGAGAGAGTATAATTAAGTTGATGAGACCTTTGGGCTTTGTGTGCCGTGGATGTTAGCCCTAGTGGCTGACCCACTTATATTCTTGTCGTGTTTTTTTGTTTCTCTCTTCAATTTTAACAGTTTTAAAAAAAAATTTAATGTACAATGAACAATTGGAACAATTCAAGATATGTGACACAACTAATAATGGAATTTTTTATATATCAACTAAGAGGATCAGGTAAATTAATGCTCATAAATATTTTCACAAGCATATGCATCAACCAAAATGTGATTACAAATTTGGAACAATGAAAAACTTTAATCATGCAAACTTTAAACATATTTCATATAAACATTCAAAGTCAAGAACTAAATGCAATTTTTGTTGTAGTGAACCATAAATTTATGAATTTTTTTTTATTATTTCATAAAGTTGAACAATATGATCATAATATGATATCGAGCATTTCAATTTAATAATCATTAAATAGAAAAGAAAATGATTAAAAAATAGAAGGTGCCCCTTTTCTTTAGCCTGAAGCCTATTAAAAACTGTGAGTTTGAAGTCTCCCGGCTTGTACTAGGTTGAGGTGCTCTAGATGAGCCTTGACGAGCCTGGGGCTTTTTCAGAGCGTAGGTGCGTCTTTAGCAACTATGGTTGTCAGCATATAGTCTTGTTTTTGGAAAGGGTAACCCTTCCAACTTGGTGACTTTTGGTACACGAGACTGCAAGGTAAATTTTGAATATGTGCAAGTACCTGCAAACCACACATATCATTTAAATCCAGTTTTTCGGCACTGTGAGTCGAACTGCCCCAGGAGATCTCTTAAACATTTACCACCTGTGTGGGTTAGTCCATATATAGTTGATTGGTGTGGAATGTGTAAAATGGGAGCTAAGAATTTTTTGTTCTATTGTCTAGTCAGTAGGGATTTGGCTGGCTTGCTGTGGGGTTCTCTCTCTCCATCTCTTTCCCTCTTTGGTACATGATTGGCAGGGAATGCAATTTCTAGTCGGAGGGGTTGTGGGGTGGGATTGTGAGTTAGAGATGTGTGGCTGATGGTTCTGTTGTGCTTGTGATCGGTCCTTTAAGGTGACAGGAACAAGAGGTGAATATTGATAGCAAGCAAGCGTACCAATACTAAGTAATATAATGAATATTGATTAGAAAAGGGGGTCTTCTAAATTCTCTTTGGATGGACTCATTCCCCAACTCCAAGTTAATATTGTCTTCAGCTTCCTTATTTGACCACTTTGGTTTTGTGATCTCGTCTTCTATTGACTGTCCCTCAGGGCCCAAACCTTTTAAGTTTCTAAAGGGCTGGTGTTTGATGAATGGTGTTGGGAGTTTGTGGCTAAGGCTTGGGTCGAGGGTGTGCAAGGTAATCCTTTTCATGTTTTGATGAATCAACTCAGATTGGTGAAAGCATTTATTAAAAGATGGAACAGAGAGACACATTAATTGTCATAGTTAAGAGATTGTTCTATTGTCTGCCTAATTTGACATGCATTTAACTGCTGCTTAAGTTTGCTTATATGAGCTTCGGTGCCTTCTATCTTAACCAAAAATATTGAAATTTTAGCTGGTCTGGATGTCTTTAGCATAATAAAAAAAATTGTTTCTAGAAACTCATTGGATTGACGTTTATTGTTAAATGTTTGTATTAGATCCTATTCTTTCTCTCTCCCTCTCAATGTTGAACTTGATGGTAAAATCCTGTGGGTGCAGGCTACAAGTTGGAAGCTTGAAGAAGCTATTCAGCTTTTCTATGTTGGAAATGAGGGTGGGGCTGTGACATCCTCTTCATACTCTCCTGTATTAGAAAATGACCATACACCTCTGCCAGATCAAAGTTCAAGGTGTGTTGGTGTCAGAGCAACACTAATATCTCATTGTTATAGTTCTTTTTTTTTTTTTTTTTTTGGGTTCAGGGTTCCAATTGTATATCTATAGAGATTATTTTGTCTTTTGTGGATAGCTTGAGGCTTTAGTTTTGTGCAGTTGTTTGGGCTGCATCCCCCTTTTGGGCGCTCTTCAACAAATACTTATCAAAAAAAGGAAAAAAAAAAAAAAAAAATCTCATCTGTTATAGCTCTGCTTACTATTATTCTTTTGGTATCTTTTTCAATATTGGTTTCTATTCTTGATTCAGTGAACTTGAAAAGGACACGGGGGAAAATATTAGACAAGATGATGGAAGTGAAGTACGCCCACCTTTACCAGTGAAAAGGGAGGTTCTTTATGATGATGCAATATTTTATGGGTATGTGTTCTTGCCCGCCCTTTTTCAGATCTGAAGTTCGATTTCTTGTTATGAAATAGGATGATTATACAAGATGGAAGATCAAATCCTTGAAGGGCAGAAATGGTAAGCATCTTGCCCATAGAACTAAATAATCATCTGGCCGATCGAAGATCTTTCGGTACCAATGGAGAAATCTTTCCTAAACAAACAGCCACTGGATATGAATCAGATGAACCCGAGGGCTACGCTAGCGAAGAGATTGTGGGTCACACCTCGCGGAAGAAAGACAGCATAGAAAAATATTTTAGGTCTCGTCTTTTAAAATACCTCTACCCTGATTGATATGCATTACTAAAAGAACAACTTTTGAGCTTAATTTTGCCTTGATGTGGCAACTACCTCAAGAGAGATCTTTACTTGGTAGGGGCACTCATGGCTAATCAATCACTAGAAATCATAGCCAAAAAACCACCTTTGAAATCGGTAAGGTTGTAGCCTCAAGGGAAGCGAGACACTGGATTCTCTACCAAATCTCCTCCAAAGGGTTCTTTCTTAAAAAATCTAGAATTTTCTTTTTCTTAAAAGTTCTAGAATTTACATTTTCTTAAAAATTCTACAGTTTCTTTGTATGGGCCACCCAAATGAAGCCAATATGGCATCCCAAAAGAAGCCTCAAGTAAGGAGTGATTGTTTACTAGAAATATCCAAGAAATGCTTACCATGTCGAAATTCTGTGCAGGATAGTAATAGAGGAAGGGGTGCAAATAAAATGATGCTGGAGTTCCATTGTTAGATTTGCCTAAAACAAAAGTATTAGGCTCGGGGCCTTATTAGGCTTTCTAGACTGGAGCATATCTTTAGTACTACCTCTGTCCCACTATAATGGTCCAATTCCACACTTCGCACTTTTTAAGACAACAAATTTTATTATACTTTATTAGATTGGCAAAAGATACATTTCCCAATTTGCCCTTTCCTTTTAAAAGTTTTGTTTTGAATCAGTCCAAGATTGAATGACTTTCAAGAGACATTTAATGGGGTCCACCCATTTTGAGATTTTAATTATTTTAATCTTTTAGGGGTAAATTGGGAATGTAATAAAAAGTAGTGTATTGATTTTTGAAATGTGACAACTATTATGGGATAGCAAAAAAAGGAGATAATGGACTATTAATATGGGACGGAGGGAGTATTAACTTTCTCGTTTGCAAATGACCAACAAATTAAAGCCTTGATTTCAAGAGAGTGCTTTGCCTTCCAAGTTACCTTGGTAGTGGGAAAGGAGAAAAAAAATGTTCGACCTTATATTCCATGAGAATAAGCCACTAGATCCATATATCAACATTTCTTTTCTGGACTAGACCTTATCCAAAAGGAGAAGGTTAGAGAATTCAACCAGTTCACGATGCTTCAAATTTCTTAAAAAATGAAATTTCTAAGAATAGGAGGGGCTTTGCACCACAAGATTAGAGTTGGGTGATCCATGAAGACTGGAAGTTCCTGTGAGAAGTTGAAAAGAGTGAAGATATGGTATCCAAGGCACAAATCCTACCAAAAATCATACCTTTGATCCTTCAAAACTGTTGATGGATCTCGTACAGTGGTGAAATCTGGGAACACCTTGGAAATAGTTTCCCAAAGACAGAAGTAAGTTTCCTTTTGATTACTATCCCAACCAATTTTTTAGATTTTTTCCCCCAAATTGTACTTGCTTTTAATCAGTAAATGGCACAAAGAGTTTTGGTATGTAAAAAACCTCCACAATCTTGAGGTAAATGGGATTTGTTCCACATAACAAGAAGGCCAAGGTTTCTGAACAAGCTTGAGTCATTGCCATTGTAAAACCATCTTAATTTAGCGATTTATTTATGTCCATTTTAAATACAGCTTTGTTAATCCAATCCTTCTTGAAAGCCCTTTAAATTGAAGGCACACTCCTATTTAGGATTCTGTTTAATTGACCTAGAAAATAATTCGAAAATGCCATTATCCAATGCATTTCCCACTTATGTAGGTTGTTGGAAAGGGAAGATTAAAGACAAAGCTAACTCGTGATATCATTTTGTATAAAGTGACTGGTCAATTTCTAACCCGTGTCATTTGGGCGCATGCTTTTACCATTGCACCAGAAAAACCTGACAATTTTGTAACCAATAAGGTCACCTTTAAAGACTTACTAATATTCTTTTTATACGTCCCATTTGCTACCTTGTAGAACAACTTTGATTTAAAATCTTCTTTCTTAATCGATTTGAGCTTAGAGTTTTGCCCTCCAACTCACTTCGTCCTTAAATAGAAGATTCTCAAGATCTCTCTTTAGTTTCATCTTTTCTTCACTTCCTTCTATAATTCCCTACTTCATCTGGCTCTTGAAAATGTTTTCAAAATCTATAGGAAGCATAGCATTTATTCATCCTTAATCCTTTTAAACATCTTTATTTCAAAATTCTGAGCTTGGGCTTACTAAACAAAACACACATTCCAAGAGATTTGACCAAGTGAAAGGGGAGGATCGTATAAATTACCACCCCTAAGATCACTTAGCACTCTTGGTTATCTAAGATTCCCAAGCTTCTCTTCTAACCTTGTAATCAATCAAAGTAAATGAATAAGGTAATTACAAAATGGGCCTAAGTAAGCCCAGGTAGGTTAGCTTCAAAGAGCATCCCTATAAAAGATTACAAGTAGTCCATTGGCCCAAAACAAGGTCAAGAATTAGACCACAAAGACCCATTTCCATTGAGCCTTAGCAAGGAGCTAGTCATTATAATAGTAATAACGACTAGAATCCAATCTGTATCCGGCAACCACACTTTGAGGTACTTTCCTCCAACATAGGTGTTCTGATGTGGTCCAGGTAGCTTTGGCTAGACCAACTTCTGACCATATTATTGTGATCTTAGATTGTGGTGGCTTGAGAATGAGGAGTACTCCTTTTCGCTTTGAGAACATGTGTTTACGAGCAGAGGATTTCTAGGGGTGTGTGAGGGCTTGGTGGGAGGGGATTAGGGTGTTAAACAGGTTACGCTATCCGTATTGTGTTACCTGTTTAGGGTAAATTACACTCACACTCCTTGTGGTTGTCCTAATTACACAATGTGGTCCTTAATTACACCGTCCTCCCCTCACGTTTGCCGCATGTGCTCAACGCCCCCCCTCTTGTTAATTAGTAATTAGGACCGTTAGGAATTTTTGACTCTATGACGGATGTGCCCGTCCCCTTAATGAAATGACGTAAAGATGTTCTTAAGGGGCTGAAACATGAGATTAAAAGGTGGAATAAGGAGGTGTTTGGGAACCTCGAGTGGAGGAAGAATAGGGCCTTCGCAGAGATTGCTGAGATTGATAGGCAGGAAGGAATGGGTGGTATTAATGAGAGTCAGAAAAGTAGGAGGGATGCGTGCCAGATAGAGCTTGCGGAGATTGCAGTGTCGGAAGAAATTTCTTGGAGGCAGAAATCTAGAGCCTTATGGCTTAAAGAGGGTGACAAGAATACTAAATTTTTCCATCGGCTGGCCAACGCTCATAGGAGAGGCAATCACATTGGGAGGATTACTATTGATGGGGAGGTTCTGGTCAGGGAGGAGGATGTTTGTAGAGGGATTGTCTCTTTTTACCAAGGTTTGTTTACGGAGCCTTATGCTTGGAGGCCCCGGTTGGATGGGCTTCACTTTGATTCCATTTTTGAGCTTAGTAAAGTTGGGATGGAGATTCTGTTCTCTGAAGAGGAAGTGTTAAAGGCGCTTAAGAGTTGTAACGGGGACAAAGCTCTGGGTTCGGATGGCTTTACTATGAGGTTTCTTTTGGAGAGTTGGGGTGTGGTCAGGGGAGAGGTGATGGATACGTTTCATGCCTTCCATTCTCAGGGGAGGTTTGAGAGTTCCTTGAATGCATCGTTTATTGCACTTATTCCAAAGAAAGGGGAAACTTCGGATGTGAAGGACTTTAGACCTATTAGTTTGTTGGGATGCATTTACTAACTAATAGCTAAAGTTCTAGTTTATAGACTGTGGGATGTTGTGGATGATATCATTTCGGAGTCTCAGAATGCCTATATTGGTGGGCGTCAGATTCTTGACTTAGCTCTTATTGCTAGCGAATGTGTGGACACGAGGCTGAGGAGCGGTGTCCTAGGGGTTCTTTGCAAGCTTGATGTTGAGAGAGCCTATGATCATGTGAGTTGGAAGTTCCTGTTGTATTTGATGAAAAAAATGGGGTTTGGGGATAAATGGAGGTCTTGGAGTGAAGCCTGCATTTCTTCAGCTAGATTTTCGGTGATGGTTAATGGGTCTCCGACCGGTTTTTTTGGTAGCTCACGAGGGCTGCGCAAGGGGGATCCCTTGTCTCCTTTCCTGTTCATTATTGTTATGGAGGCCCTGAGTAGGTTGATGGGGAGGGCGATGGAGTTGGGGTTTATCAAGGGGTTCATGGTGGGTGGGGATGTTGCTCATCACCTGGAGATATCTCACTTATTGTTTGCGGATGATACTTTGGTGTTCTGTAAGGTGGAGGTGTCCTAGATGAGGTACTTGAGGTCGGTGTTGGTTTGTTTTCAGGCGGTTTTAGGCTTGAAAGTGAATATAGGGAAGAGTGCTTTGATTCTAGTGGGGGAGGTGCATAATATAGATGAGTTAGCCTTTGTTCTTGGATGTGGAATTAGTAGTATTCCAACTACATACTTGGGGTTACCTTTGGGAATTTCTTCGAGGACTGTGGGTGTTTGGGATCCGGTGGTTGAGAGGGTTTAAGGAGACTGATAGGGTGGAAGAAGCAGTACTTATTGAAAGGTGGGAAGGTCACTCTTTTGAAAAGTACGCTTTCAAGCCTTCCTACATATTTTCTATTCCTCTTCTAGAGTTTATCTGTGGTTGTTGCCTCGATTGAGAGGCTTTAGCGGAACTTTCTCTAGGTGGTTTACAAGGAGAATTTAAGTATCACCTTGTTCGTTGGGAGCAGGAGGCCGCTTCAGGCGGGAGGCTTAAGGATAAGGAGGTTGGTGCCATTTAACAGGGCTGTCCTTGGTAAGTGGCTATGGAGGTTTGGAGTGGAACGCCATAGGTTGTGGAGGAGGGTTATTTTGTGCCGGTTTGGGGAAGAGACCCGTCGCGGGGGGGGGGGGGGGGGGGGGGGGGGGGGTGGGGCTGGTGGGGTTGGTGTTCATATTGGGTGAGGATTCCTGGTGGTATTGGCGTTTGGAAGTCCATTAGGAAAGGATGGAATGAGTTCTCAAAACACATCAGATTCAGAGTTCATGATGGTAGGGACGTGTGCTTTTGGGAGGATCTTTGGTGTGGTGATTGTTCTTTGGCCTGTTCTTTTTCCAGTTTGTTTAGGATTGCTGTTGACAGGCATGCATTGGTTGCTGACTACTATCGGCTTGATAGCGGGAGGTTGACTTGGGATGGGTGGTTTGTGAGAGCTTTCCAAGATTGGGAGTTGGACGACATTTGCGGGTTGTTAAAGCGCCTGTATCGGCATGAGACCCGTGGCAGAGGTGGAGATTTGCTTGTCTAGGTGCCTTCTGCTCGGGGAAGGTTTGAAGTGAGTTCATTTTTTCGTGGAAAACAGTGTGGAGATCTAAGGTGCCACTCAAAGTGGATTTCTTTACTTGGACAATGGTGTGGGGCAAGATATTGACGGTTGACAATTTGAGGAGGCGAAGACAAATCACACTTAACTGGTGTTGTATGTGCAAATGTAATGGAGAATTGGTGGATCATCTTCTTTTGCACTGTCCAGTGGCTTTTGACTGTTGGTTTCTTTTGTTAGGCATGTTTGGGGTCTCGTGGGTGATGCCTAGATCTGTGAGAGGACTGATGGAGGCTTGGCTAGGATGCTTTGTGGGAGGTCATGCTCGTGGGTTTTGGAGGATGGCGCCATTGTGCTTATGGTAGTGTTTGTGGAGGGAGCAGAATAATAGATCCTTTGAAGGAGAGGAATCCTCGATTGTTGTTCTTAAGTCAACTTTTATTACATATTTATGCTTTTGGGGTTCAGGCAGGCATTGTTCCTCCCCGGAGGAGACAACTGACTTTATTTCTTCCTTGGGTCCATAGGATCCTTTTGTTGTTTATGGGACGTGTTCCCCTTTTGAACTCCTTTTATTGAATTTGCTTAATTATCAAAAAAAAAAAAAAAAATTTGTTTTTGATAATTCATTGTCGTTTCCACTTCCTCTTTGTGCGCTTCTCTGATCCAATCTTATATATATATTTTTTTCCTTATGTTTATGGTTCCGTGGGAACTAGTTGAGCAACCTTTGTCCGATCATATCTGCCTCTACTGATATTTGTCATGTCCAAATTTTTTAATAAATTTATTATCATTTTCTCCCTTTCTTCTAATTGGATTTACATTTGTGTGCTTATATAAAATTGTAGTGGTGGGAACAAACGTTAAACCAAAAAAAAAAAAAAGAATTTAATTGCAATAGAAAAAAGATCTCTTCTTATTATTCTTTCTTTGCTCAAATTGTTGTCATCTGTTTCTTTGGTTTATGTTCTGCCTACAACGCGTCTAATCAATTTGCTCATTTCTCATTGACTTGAGTGTAAGGTTTTCTCTGGTGCGGAGGAATGAAATGAGGTGGGAATGGAATGGTCATTCCCATTCTACTATTTGGTTGTAAACGGGTTAAAAAGGAAAATTATTCAACCAAATATATATCTATAAATACACATTTTCTCTCTTCTTTTATCTTCCCAATCTTGTGGTAATAATTGCAAACCATTCCAAACACGACGTATATTGGAAACTGAGGAGAGAATCAACAGCAGTTACATTTTATTGAACCCCTCTCTCTCTCATCGACTTGGAAATTTAATCTGAGACGTAGATACTTATTCTGTTTCTCGTTTCTCAGTGAAGAGTTCCCTGTTAATCTTCCAATCAGAGCCGCGACGAACAATTCAGAGAAAATCAACAATATTTACCTTTTATTGAACCTCTCTCTCTCATCGATTGGAGCTCAAAATGCTAGTATAAGGTCTGTTGCAACGAGAAAGAGAAAGACACAGGAGATAGATTGAAGCCCGAATCTAGTCCAATCTTATAATTTGTTTTCCTTACGTTTATGTTTCTGTGGGAACTAGTTGAGCAACCTTTGTCCAGATCATTTCTGCCTTTGCTGATATTTGTGTCATGTCCAAATTGTTTTAATAAATTTATTATCATTTTATCCCTTTCTTCTAATTGGATTCATATTTGTGTGCTTATATAAAATTGTAGTGATGGGAACAAATGCTGAACAAAAAAAGAAGAAGAAAGAATTTAATTGCAATAGAAAAAAGATCTCTTCTTATAATTCTTTCTTTACTCAAATTGTTGTCATCTGTTTCTTTGGTTTATGTTCTGCCTACAATGCGTCTAATCAATTTGCTCATTTCTCATTGACTTGAGTGTAAGGTTTTCTTTGGTACGGAGGAATGAAATAAGGTGGGAATGGAATGGTCATTCCCATTCCACTATTTGGTTATAGACGGGTTAAAAAGGAAAATTATTCAACCAAATATATTTCTATAAATACACATATTTTCTCTCTTCTTTTATCTTCCCAATCTCGTGGTAATAATTGCAAACCATTCCAAACACAACGTATATTTGGAAACTGAGGAGAGAATCAACACCAATTACATTTTATTGAACCCCTCTCTCTCTCATCGACTTGGAAATTTAATCTGCGATGTAGCTACTTATTATGTTTCTCGTTTCTCAGTGAAGAGTTCCCTGTGAATCTTCCAATCTGAGCCACGACGAACAATTCAGAGAGAAAATCAACAATATTTACCTTTTATTGAACCTCTCTCTCTCTCTCATCGATTGGAGCTCAAAATGCTAGTATAAGGTCTGTTGCAACGAGAAAGAGAAAGACAGAGGAGAGAGAGTGAAGCCCGAATCTGGAATAGCAGAGCCGATTTTGGACAGTGCTTTGTTGCCGAAGTCGGAACGCCATCAATGACTGATATCGGACAGTGCTTTGTCACTGATCGCAGCCAATGGCTGATTTCAGATGTAAAGGTGATGGACTTGAGTTTGTGAGGAGAAAAGCTTCAGGACCATAACGTTGAAGAACAGTGTTTTTTTAGTATCATTTTTACTCCGTACTTTTTACGTGGGAATGGAATGGCCATTCCTTTTGTTGGGAAGTGGAATGAAAAGCTTCAGGACCATAACGTTGAAGAAGAGGGGTTTTTTAATATCATTTTTACTCCGTACTTTTTAAGTGGGAATGGAATGGCCATTACTTTTGTTGGGAAGTGGAATGATTTGTGAGAATGGCCATTCTCTGGGAATGGTCAGAAATGATCATTCCTACTTTAAAATTACTTACCAAACAAAGGAATGGAAATAAGAGCATTCCATTTTATTTCATTCCATTCTCACCTACCAAATGTATCCGAAACTCATTTTTGGTGAGTCTGCATGTCTCACATTGTTGGAGGCAACATAGCATGTTCTCTCTCTCTCACTCACTCACTTTTAGTCTTTTGTGTTTTGGATCTAATTCTTTATTATTTTGCTCATAAAAGGAGAAATTTCTTTTTGTATTGTTTTTTGTTCTTTAATCCAGAGCATCAAGAATGGGATATCCGTCACATGAAGCTCATTCAGTAGTTCCCTTCCGCAATTTTAATGAGGAAATGAAACGTCCTGGGATTTGGGAATCTGAACAAGGTGCCACATCTGCAGTGGATAATTCTAGAGATAATCTGGCTTCTTTGTATCGTCCTCCATTTGCTCTGATGCACCATGGGCCCTTTGAAAAGGTAAGTGGGTTAGTTCATTTTGTGTAATTTTTTGTTGATGAAAATTTTAAATGACAGTAAGAAATTGCACTAGTAATGACTGGTCTGGGCTTCTAGCCCAATGCCTTTGAGTTGTCTGCATTTATTTAAATAAAATATTAGAGGACTAATAGCTATTTAATATAAGGAACATTTATGCTATTCTATTTCCTTTTAAAGATAAGTACATGATTTAGAAACAATAGAATATACAATGCACTATCATATGGTAGTAGTAAAGACTGAAGAATGCAAGCTGGTTAGAAACAATGATTAATTGCTCTTTTGAGTCCTTTATGCTGCTAAATAATTTTTATTAGGGTCAAATGCAAAACAAACCCCTTTAACTCTGTTTGAATCTGCAAATACTTGAAGTACATTTTGTGCATAATAAACCACCCCACCCCCCCCCCCCCCCCCCCCCCCCCCCCCCCCCGGCGCGCGCGCGCGCGAGAACTATCACATTTTGTTGGAAAATGACCCAATGCCTAGACTATTTTTCATTAAATGATCATAATGCCCTTTCTTATTGAATTGCACTTAAAATATATTTCTTATTGTAACAAGTTATGAAAAAAATTCATATTATTTTGATGGTATAATTAAAATTTAGATGATAGAAAATATAATAAAAATAATTTAATAATAAGTGACAGAATTAATGAGAAAGGGTAAAATAATATTTTCTTATGGGTTTGTCATTATTTGCAACAAATCAATAGTTCACGGGGGCAATTTGTAGTTTAGGGGGGTTATTTGCTAATGGGCAATAGTTTAAGGGTTTTTTTTTTTTTTTTTTTTTTTTGCACTTTACCCTTTTTAATTATCATTTTTAGGTTAGTGCAGCAGAACAAATATTTTTCCTAATTTGTAGGAACTGTATTGGAGGCAAATTATGGTTCTTCTGGATAATAAGGTTCTTTATAAACGTATATCACTCTTATTCGTAACAAAAAAGATGGTTTGTTTAATACTCAAATAATTTAGAATATTCATTGGTAGGCCATGACATCTGCTTTGCAGAGTCCTCCGAATTTGATTATTATATTTGTATCGGGTGGTTTTTGAGAAAAAATCATTTCTATATTAAATTTTGCAATTCTGCCTTTTGCTTTGACAATTATAAGGTGAGGAATCACCTTTTTCTTTAATTAAAATTTCCCTCTTGCCATGCTCTATATGATGCGAAGTCTTGTGGTTGTTTCATTCCCCTTCTTTTCCAATATATTTCGTCTTCATTGGTAATTAGGATCAAAGAAATCAATAGAGTAATGATGAAGAGTGATTGTAACTATTGGACTATTGATAGTTTTTATGGCCAATAGAATCTTCATTTCTGTAAGAGGAATTTTTTTTTTTTTTTGGGTAAGTAAAAATGTAGAGAAACATTTATAAAAGCAAGCAAGAAAATTATTGTAAGGGGATATTCTACCTCACAGAATTGAGAATTATTGTTGCTGCTGCTATCATAGTTTCCAGTGTTCTCAAAGCCAGAAGTGCCAACCATGGCTCCAAATTAATGAGGGAAACAGAAGAAAACTAGTACCAAACGTAAGGGAAGTGAGTATAAATTGGTAGAGAGGCATATAGGAAGTGGAGAAGGAAGAGTGAGACTATGATGAGGGTGTACGTGCATTCAGAAGTGATGTGGAAAACGATAGTATGTTAAGCCTTTATATCTATCTGAATTGTAATTGTTCAAATTTTGAGAAACTAAATATATCAACTAATAAATTGTTGGATTATAAGTTATAGCATGAATGCCTTCTGTTGCCCTATTTTTATATATTTATATGCCCAAAGATACATATATATCTTGAAATGAAGTTGTCCAACATGGCTGCCATGTCAACACCATGTGGGGTGCTTAGGTGGCCAATGAGAAGATAAAAAGTTGTCTTGAGAATTGGGTCGCAATTGAAGACTTGAGTTTCCAACTACTTATATTTATATTTATTTGTTTGAGTTTCCAACTACTTATATTTATATTTCTTTGTTTTTTGTGCCTAGTAAGTTGTGTTTAATTTGTTATTTTGTTTGAGGATGAATTTGCCCTTTTCCTCTCTGTCAGAAGCGATCCTTGGGCGATTAGGGTTCTTGGGGATTGGTACTGCTAATATGGACTAGGGTTTAAGGGAGGATCTTTTCTTGAAGTAGCGAATCTACCCTATCTTATTCTCAGCAGTGAGGTTGAAAGCTTCCCAACCGAAGAGGGTAGGACCTTCAGGGTCGATCATCACAGTACGGCATGCTGAGAATCAGTTTTAAAATCCTGCCTTGTTGGACGTTTCAATATAGATGTGGGAAGTATCGAGAGGATCAAGACGTGGGCGACGCAGACTTGGAAGATTGCGTGTAGGGTAACGGTTTCAACCCTGCCTGACTGTCTTCTTTTGTTCAGATTACCGTCGGAGAAAGAGGCACAAAGAGTTCTTTTTTCTGGCAAGAAGACATGGGGCATTGCTACTCTGTCAATTGATGTTTGGTATTTTGTAGTCGGTTGCTCGGTGGTGAGAGCTAGGGGAAGGGGAAGACGAGTGGTGATGTACGGATTGCCCCTTCATCTTCGCTGTCAGACACTGTTCGAAGCCATATGGAATATGTGCGGTGGTTTTAGAGATGTGGAGGCGGATGATATAGTGATAGGAGAGAGAGTTACTCTCTATGTTTCTGATGAAGATGTGATCCCGAATTTCATCTTCGTTGAAGATGAGACAGTGGCCTTTAAAGTTGCTTTTTGGGAGGAATTATCACCATCCATCCTCCCGAAAGTCTCCATAGGCTCACATGTTAGATCCCCACCACAGCTAGTGGAGTTGAGATCTGGACACGAGCATCGTCTTTCCTCTCATCCCTAAGGACAGAGACGTGTGAGGTTCAACGCATCGCCTGCTTTCCAATGTGGCAGGCCACGTGATCATTCAGATGCTATGGAAAGTACCGACGATGGGCATGATTTGAAGCATGGGCAACATAGGCCTATGGTTAATGGTCTTATGTCTTGGTCTGGGCCTAGTGTTTCTCAAGGGATTAAGAGGATGGTCCAGCGGGGCCTCAATAATCGTCTGTCCATCTCCTTATCATTTACCAAGCCCAGCCCAAATGTCTTATTAAGGTCCAATAGAGGAAGCTCAACCCATGCTCACGTCCATCCTTTATCAAAGCGTAACTCTTTTGCATTTCATCCATCTGTACAAAGAAATTGGTCCATGGCGGAGAAGATGAGATTGATGCAGATCAGCGCAGGTAAGGGAGGTACGAGTACGAAAAACATGACTTTCCGACACGACATGTATTGTAATACAATCACAACAGGGCCTTTCATCTCTGCCCCTGTATTGTCGGAAAATAAAAGCCTCAACGGTGCACATCAGACCAATCAGGGCAAATCGTACAGCCATGGTAATCGATTGACCCGTTACAAAAAACAGAATTGGATCGCTTGATCCACCACTTCTATTGATCCAGGTTTGTCATCTGTTATTGATTCTTGGAGCCCTTCTTATGCTCCTCCTTCTTTTACTCCTCCTTGTAGGGTGTTGAGGAGTGGCGGTGGGATGGAGAAGGGATGTGAGCTGCCGGATCTGTCAACGGTACCGGAAGTTGAGTCAGGGATGTGCTCGGACGCTTCTGGCGATTATGGGTCTTCTCTTTCTGGGTATGATGAACCAAGTGTCAGTGCTGTAATGGAACTGTCCGATGGGGTTACGGTTTGTGTGGGACGTGATCTTCAACTTCGACTGACAGAGGAGTCTGCAGCAGCTCTACTTAAAGAGCTCTACCTCCGTGTCGCCCTTAAAGGCCTTAACTGCTTGCTACTCGGAGGATCAGGGGAGATTGTTTCACATAGTTCGGTGGCTCATGGTACGGGTGACTCTGTTACGGTTACAGATTCGTAGACGGATTTGTATGTTGGTGGAAAGGATAGTGTAGAGGAGGAGGATGAAGTTTTGGCTTCCATACAACGGGTATGCTCTAATGAATTAGTCCCATGGGTGGAATCAGATCACTCTAATTTGGGGTTGGTGGAACCATTGGCTGTTGTGCGACATGGTGGATTAGAGACGAATGCTGATATGGGCAAGGATTGGGTAGTTGCAAATATCAGTGTTACAAGTGAAGCGCTGGGTGTCTCATCAAATGGCAAAGGTGATCAGGTCCTATCCATTCTTCACACAATTGTGGAAGGGAGAGACGTTGCAGGGAACATGCAGGGCACGAAAGAGGTTAAAAGTAGGAGACCTTTAACGTCTTGGAAAGGGGAGCAGGAGGTCAAGAATCTCATCTCTTATGTTAACTATGAAGGGAAGGATGGGGTGGCGAGGGAAAGGGGAAGGACCAGGAGTGGGAGAAGGGGAGGAGGGGAGATGATTGTTTATGGTTGTTAATGAAGCTACAAATTATCACTTGGAATATTCGTGGTCTCAATGATCCGGACAAAAGGAGGGTGGTGAAGGTAGCTGTGAGGAAGTGGAGTGCCCATGGCGTTTGTCTGCAAGAAACCAAGATGGGCTCTATTTCTGACGGGGTGGTTAGGAGTCTTTGGGGAAGAAGGTTCGTGGAATGGAAACCACTGAACACTTCAAGTAGCTTTGGTGGAATCCTAGTTATGTGGGATTGTAGGTGGCTGTCAAGGATGGACATATGGAAGGGGAGTTATTCTCTGTCCTGCGTGTTCAAGATGGAGGAAGACAATTTCAGATGGGTATTTTCTAGGGTCTACGGGCCAATTATTGACAGTGAGAGACCTTCCTTTTGGGAGGAGCTTTGCCACGTTAAGGTACTGTGGTCTCTCCCTTGGTGCCTGGGTGGGGACTTTAATTCTGTTAGGTCTCCGTTGAGAGATCCATAGGGGTAGGTGGTCCTCGGAGATGACTCAGTTTTCAGACTTTATTGATAATCATTTTCTTGTTGATTTACCAGTGGAAGGGGAAGCCTTTACTTGGTCTAATGGCAGGGACTCGGTTACTTTATTAAGGCTG